TTATTTTTGCAATATATTTTCGAATAACGGAGAACAATGTGTTTATAATGAATATAATGAAAAATACCAAATTTTTCTCAATATCGGTCATTTATTTACTTTTAAGTCTATGTTCGTCCCGCTATTTACATTTGATATCAAAACACCTAAAAAAAACATAATTTCTTTTAATATACACTATTTCGTAAAGGAGTTCCCACAGATTTTTGTAATAAAAAATTTTAAATTAAATTTTTATCCCGGCGCCTCCACCATTTTTATCAAAAAGTTAAACTTAACGAAATGACTTCACAATGTTTTCATTCTTTTCAGAAATTTTGTCAGGATCACGAATCTGTCCTTCTTTTCGCAATATCTTTTCAAAAAACGGAGAAAAATGTGTTTATAATGAATATAATGAAAAAAATACCAAATTTTTCTCAATACCGTTCATTTATTTACTTTCAAGTTTATGGTCCTCCCACTATTTACATTTGATATTAAAATATCAAAAGAAAACCATAATTTATTTTAATATACACTATTTCTGAAAGGAGTTCCTGCAGATTTTTGTAATAAAAAAAAAATTTTAATTAAATTTTTATCCCGGCGCCTCCACCATTTTTATCAAAAAAGCTAAACTTGACGAAATAATCTCACAATATTATCACTTTTTTCCGGAATTTTCTCAGGATCGCGAATCTGTCCTACTTTTCGCAATATCTTTTCAAATAACGGAGAAAAATGTGTTGATACTGAAAAAAATACCAAATTTTTCTCAACACCGGTCATTTATTTACCTTCAAGTCTATGTTTGTCCCGCTATTTATATTAGATATCAAAACATCTACAGAAAACCATAATTCATTTTAATATGCTTTATTTCTGAAAGGAGTTCCTACAGATTTTTGTAATAAATAATTTTAAAGTAAATTTTTATCACGCGCCTCCACAATTTTTAACAAAAAATTAAAACTGACGAAATGACCTCACAATGTTATCATTCTTTTCAGAAATTTTCGGCAAATTTTCAACAAAATTTTCGAAACTTCACTAAATACATCTTCTTGTAGATTTCGAGCCGCAGAAGTCATATCCGCTTTCATTTCTTCCATAACTCCAATGGTTTTTCCAGAATCGTACTTTGAAGCATTCAAAAATATGCAAAATTCGCCCAATTTCCGACCAATTTTCAACAAATTTTCGAAATTTTACTAAATACATTTTCTTGTAAATTTCGGGCCGCAGAAGTCATATCTGCCTTCAGTTCTTCCATAACTCGAATGGTTTTTCCAGAATCGTACTTTCAATCATTCAAAAATATGCAAAATACGCCCAATTTTCGACCAATTTTCATCAAAATTTTCGAAATTTCACTAAATACATTTTCTTGTAGATTTCGGGCCGCAGAAGTCATTTCCGCTTTCATTTCTTCCATTACTCGAATGGTTTTTCCAAAATCGTCCTTTGAAATATTCAAAAATATGCAAAATACGCCCAATTTTCGACCAATTTTCAACAAAATTTTCGAAATTATACTAAATACATTTTCTTGTAGGTTTCGAGCCGCAGAAGTTATATCCGCTTTCATTTCTTCCATAACTCGAATGGTTTTTCCAGAATCGTACTTTCAAATATTCAAAAATATACAAAATACGCCCAATTTTCGACCAATTTTCAACAAAATTTTCGAAATTTTACTAAATACATTTTCTTGTAGATATCGGGCCGCAGAAGTCATATCCTCTTTCATTTCTTCCATAACTCGAATGGTTTTTCCAGAATCGTACTTTCAAACATTCAAAAATAGGCAAAATACGCCCAATTTTCAACAAAATTTTTTAAATTTCACTAAATACTTCTTCTTGTAGATTTCAGGCCGCAGAAGTCATATCCGCTTTGATTTCTTCCATAACTCGAATGGTTTTTCCAGAATCGTACTTTGAAACATTCAAAAATATGCGAAATTCGACCAATTTTCGACCAATTTTCGACCAATTTTCAACAAAATTTTCGAAATTTTACTAAATACATCTTCTTGTAGATTTCGGGCCGCAGAAGTCATATCCGCTTTCATTTCTTCGATAACTCCAATGGTTTTTTCAGAATCGTCCTTTAAAATATTCAAAAATATACAAAATTCGCCCAATTTTCGACCAATTTTCAACAAAATTTTCGAAATTTTACTAAATACATCTTCTTGTAGATTTCGGGCCGCAGAAGTCATATCCGCTTTCATTTCTTCCATAACTCGAATGGTTTTTCCAAAATCGTATTTTGAAACATTCAAAAATAGGCAAAATACGCCCAATTTTCGACCAATTTTCAACAAAATTTTTGAAATTTTACTAAATACATTTTCTTGTAGATTTCGGGCCGCAGAAGTCATATCCGCTTTCATTTCTTCGATAACTCCAATGGTTTTTTCAGAATCGTCCTTTAAAATATTCAAAAATATACAAAATTCGCCCAATTTTCGACCAATTTTCAACAAAATTTTCGAAATTTTACTAAATACATCTTCTTGTGGATTTCGGGCCGCAGAAGTCATATCCGCTTTCATTTCTTCCATAACTCCAATGGTTTTTCCAAAATCGTCCTTTGAAATATTCAAAAATATGCAAAATACGCCCAATTTTCAACAAAATTTTCGAAATTTTACTAAATACATTTTCTTGTAGATATCGGGCCGCAGAACTCATATGCTCTTTCATTTCTTCCATAACTCGAATGGTTTTTCCAGAATCGTACTTTCAAACATTCAAAAATAGGCAAAATACGCCCAATTTTCAACAAAATTTTTGAAATTTCACTAAATACATCTTCTTGTAGATTTCAGGCCGCAGAAGTCATATCCGCTTTGATTTCTTCCATAACTCGAATGGTTTTTCCAGAATCGTACTTTGAAACATTCAAAAATATGCGAAATTCGACCAATTTTCGACCAATTTTCAACAAAATTTTCGAAATTTTACTAAATACATCTTCTTGTAGATTTCGGGCCGCAGAAGTCATATCCGCTTTCATTTCTTCGATAACTCGAATGGTTTGTCCAAAATCGTATTTTGAAACATTCACAAATATGCAAAATACGCCCAATTTTCGACCAATTTTCAACAAAATTTTTGAAATTTTACTAAATACATTTTCTTGTAGATTTCGGGCCGCAGAAGTCATATCAGCTTTCATTTCTTCGACAACTCCAATGGTTTTTTCAGAATCGTCTTTAAAATATTCAAAAATATACAAAATTCGCCCAATTTTTGGCCAATTTTCAACAAAATTTTCGAAATTTCACTAAATACATTTTCTTGTAGATTTCGAGCCGCAGAAGTCATATCCGGTTTCATTTCTTCCATAACTCGAATGGTTTTTCCAGAATCGTACTTTCAAACATTCAAAAATTTGCAAAATACGCCCAACTTTCGACCAATTTTCAACAAAATTTTCGAATTTTTACTAAATACATTTTCTTGTAGATCTCGGGACGCAGAAGTCACATCCGATTTCATTTCATCGATAACTCCAATGGTTTTTCAGAATCGTCCTTTGAAATATTCAAAAATATGCAAAATTCCAATTTTCGACCAATTTTCAACAAAATTTTCGAAATTTCACTAAATACATTTTCTTGTAGATTTCGGGCCGCATTTCTTTAAATATGCACTATTTTTTTAAGGAATTCCTACAGATTTTTGTGATAAAAAAATTTAAATTAAATTTTTATCCCGGCGCCTCCACCATTTTTTACAAAAAGTTAAACTTGACGAAATGAGCTCACAATATTATGATTCTTTTCAGAAATTTTCTCAGGATCACGAACCTGTCCTTTTCGCAATATATTTTCAAATAACCGAGAAAAATATATTTATAATGAAAAAAATGCCAATTTTTTCTCAATACCCGTCATTTATTTTCCTTCAAGTCTATGTTTGTCCGGTTAGTTAATTTAGATATCAAAACGTCTAAAAAAAATCATAATTTCATTAAATATACACTATTTCTGAAAGGAGTTCCTGCAGATTTTTGTAATAAATAATTTTAAAGTAAATTTTTATCCCGGCGCCTCCACCATTTTTATCAAAAGTTAAACTTGACGAAATGAGCTCACAATGTTATCATTCTTTTCAGAAATTTTCTCAGGATCACGAATCTGTCCTTGTTTCCGCAATATATTTTCAAATAACGGAGAAACATATGTTTATAATGAAAAAAATGCCAAATTTTTCTCAAAACCAGTAATTTATTTACCTTCAAGTCTATGTTTGTCCCGCTATTTATATTAGATATCAAAACATCTAAAGAAAACCGTCATTTCTTTTAATATACACTAGTTCTTATAGGACTTGCCACAGAATTTTGTAATAAAAAATTCAAAATCAAATGTTATAATTTTTCAGAGAACCGTATTTGTTGGATCAGAAGCGCGGAAAGTTCTGTAGAAACACAATAAACAAACGTTCTTTTGATAACTTCGTTTAAACTTTGCCTTTAATTGGCAAATGTTGTCCAAATGAAAAGCTACAAGCTCATTTGATTCTAAATTTACACCGTGAGTCCAAATTTAGCAAAACAAGCGATAAATTATGTACAAATTAATGGAAAAACAACAGCTTCGAAACAAATTTCTCCCGACAAATAACGCACATTTATATCGTATTTAAACACAAATCTCGCATTTACAACCGCCAGATCTGCGTGACCGAAACCAGAATCATCCAAAAAACTCTCCTCATTAATAAACCACATCATTTTCCCCAGGCAGGCTAATAACGTTTTCGTCCTCATAATAAACTATCTAAAAGATAAACCCCGCATTATGCGGCAGTTAAATTATTTTCGACCACTTATTTGCTAAAAGCGTGGTTGCGACTAATTTATAGTCATTTCCGTCTGTAACGCCATTAATATAACAACATCCCACAGTATTGATTCGTCGGTTATAGCGCACTCCGATTTATCGCGTTCATTACTCTATATTCGTTTAAGTGCGCAAATATGTGATGAAAGCTCTCTTTCAGGAAGTTCAGCTGCGAGTGTTTCCCCGGATATTCGGGCCCGTATTGTTCTTCAGGCCCCAGCTCGTTTTGCACCAACAACGGAAGTCCTACCTGCAAAAACGGCGGCACTTGCATGTAAGTAAAATAATTATTTATATTAACATAAAGCCGAGTTTACGAGACTCTTCTCGTTACAGACGAATTGCTTATTATTTCTCGCGCCTGCCGGAGTACTTAAATGACGGCGGGGGGTCTATTACAAAGTTTTATGGGGCCGTTATGCAGAAAATTTATCTTCGGGATGTATGACCAACTAGGCGGGAAAATTACGGAACTTATGATTAGTGTTGTGTTTTTTGATTAAAGCTCACTAGCTTAAGTGGAACTAGATTCTAAGCGATGCGATTTTAGAGTTGTGCTTTGCTGTGACGCGCAAAGAAGCTTTCCTAAACATGAATTTTAATATTTTAAGCAACTATTTCAGGCACCTCATCAAACTTTCAAGCGGCCAAAATCCGGTCCTTACTCATTAACAAATAAAAACTCCACTAAGCGTCCAGCAGCAGCCCGTTAAACCGCGCATTTAGCTTTTTGTCTTCATCAGTTTCCAGCCTCTTAGCTATTAATATTGACATAAACCCCGCATTACGCAAGCACGGCAATCTGTGTGTGGAATGCAAATCATAGCAAGCAGGATATTGGATGTTGAAGTGGCACTCGTCGGCAGAAACAATGAAAAGGCAAAATTCCGCGACTCGGCGAAACCACTTAACGCAATTCGGGCCTTAATGGCCTACTGTCACCAGCTAGTTAATACGTGTTTGACCGGAACTTGGCTTGAGATATGGATACAAGTTTAAACATTAACGTTGGCCGACGTTAAATACTGCCTCCGCCTGAATTTCCGCAACGACGAATTAAAACGACGGCCCAAAACAATAAGCTATGGGAGGCAGCATCCTGAATTAAGGAGGCTTAATTGGTTAGTCGTCCTGCCGGTGTCGTTTTCGGTTAATTAATTTTTAATTTTTTATTGCTGGCGCTTAGGCCGGACGAGGCGAGGCGCAGAGGTGAGGGGGAATGCGGATTTTAATCACGTAAAAGAAATTGTAATACATATATATATACAGCGTTCAGGATGTTTCTAGGCAAAGGTAGACCATGGAAATCTAGTAACTTGGCTGGCAATCAGTTTCATATTTCCAAAAATCCCTAATGAAATATGACAGTTATCGTTTTAGGTTCAGTTGTTTTTAAAGTAAGGTCAGAAAATCCGTCACAAATTGTAACACTGTTGCCAGTAATTTCACACTTTCCAATAATTAGGACTATTCAAAGCACTGAAGTAAACAATTATTATTTGAGTGTTTAATAAGCATAGTCAGTATAATCAAATTTAAAATTCACATCTGGAAAAGTAAAAATTAAATTTCAACTTTAATAATACATATCAACATTTTTGATTAAACATATTACATAATTATTCTCCGATTTTCGATTTTCAATTTCACGATTTTACAGTGGCTCGATTTTGGATTTTAATTTGTCGGTTAGATTTTTTTGCTTTTTCCAATTTTTTTTATTTTTTACTTCACTATTTTTCAAGTTCAATTTTTTGATGTCTTAGTGTTCATATTTCCTAGTTTTGCAATTTTTTCATTTTTTTTTAAGTTGAGAAATTCAAAAATCTAAAAATAGAAAAAAATAGCAAAAAACTGAAAAATCGTACAAATGAAAACTTAAAAACTGAGTGAAAAACAAAAATTTGAAAAATCGAAAAACTCTAACACAATTAAAAATTTACAAAAGTAAAAGTCGACCAACTGAAAAATTAAAAATGAAAACATTGAAAAATTGGATAATTAAAAAAACGAAAAATTCAAAAGACGGGAAATTGTGAAATCGAAATATTAGAAAATCAAAAAAATTGAGAAAAAAAATTGAAGGTTTTAAAGAAAACCTAAATTCTGAAAGGAATTAATTTTTTCGACTTTTAATTTTTCCATTTTTGGTTTCCAATGTTTCAATTTTCCGTTTTTTCATTTGTTCAATTTGCTATTTTTAGAATTTTCACTTTCTCGATTTTACAATTTCTTCGTTTTATCAATTTCTGAATTTTTTTATTTTTTTGATTTTAAGATTTTTGAATTGATGAACTTTTCGAACAAAAAAAATGGAAAAATCGCAAAACTAGGAAATATGAAAACTAAGACATTAAAAAAGTTAAGCTGAAAAATAGTGAAATCAAAAAATAAAAAATTTAGGAAAGTCAAAAAAATCTAACCGACAATTAAAAATCGAAAATGAACCAACTGTACAATTGACAAATTGTAAATCGAAAAATTCAATAATTAAAAAGTTTAAAAATCCAGTCACTGAAAAATTCAAAAGTTATAGGAATAGTAGAAAGTGGGACAATCCAAAAATTGTACAAATGAAAACTTGAAAACTAAGTGAAAAACAAAAAACTGAAAAATCGAAAAACTCTAGCACAATTAAAAATTTACAAAATTAAAAGTCGACCAAGTGAAAAATTAAAAATGAAACAATTGAAAAATTGGATAATTAAAAAAACGAAAAATTCAAAAGACGGGAAATTGTGAAATCGAAATATTACAAAATCAAAAAAAATTGAAAAAAAAATTAAAAAATTGAAGGATTTAAAGAAAACCTCAATTCTGAAATGAATTAATTTTTTAGATTGTTAATTTTTCTATTTTTGGATTTTCAATGTTTCAATTTTTCGTTTCTTCAGTTCTTCAATTTGCTATTTTTAGAATTTTCACTTTCTGGATTTTGCAATTTCTCGTTTTATCAATTTTTAAGATTTTTCCATATTTTTCGATTTTAAGATTTTTAAATTGATCAACTTTTCGGACAAAAAAAATGGAAAAATCGCAAAACTAGAAAATCTGAACACTAAGACATTAAAAAAGCTAAGCTGAAAAATAGTGAAATTAAAAATTAAAAAATTTAGAAAAGTCAAAAAAATCTTACCGACAATTAAAAATCGAAAATGGACCAACTGTAATATTGACAAATTGTAAATCGAAAAATTCAATAATTGACAAGTTTAAAAATCCAGTCACTGAAAAATTCAAAAGTTATAGGAATAGTAGAAAGTGGGACAATCCAAAAATTGTACAAATGAAAACTTGAAAACTAAGTGAAAAACAAAAAATTGAAAAATCGAAAAACTGGCACAATTAAAAATTTACAAAATTAAAATTCGATCAACTGAAAAATTAAAAATGAAACAATTGAAAAATTGGATAATTAAAAAAACGAAAAATTCAAAAGACGGGAAATTGTGAAATCGAGATATTACAAAATCAAAAAAAATTGAAAAAAAATTAAAAAATTGAAGGATTTAAAGAAAACCTCAATTCTGAAATGAATTAATATATTTACAAAATTAAAAGTCGATCAACTGAAAAATTAAAGATGAAAAAATTGAAAAATTGGATAATTAAAAAAACGAAAAATTCAAAAGACGGGAAATTGTGAAGTGGAGATATACAAAATCAAAAAAAATTGAAAAAAAAAATTAAAAAATTGAAGGATTTAAAGAAAACCTAAATTCTGAAATTAATTAATTTTTTCGATTTTTAATTTTTCTCTTTTTGTATTTTCAGTGTTTCAATTTTTCGTTTCTTCGGTTCTTCAATTTGCTATTTTTAGAATTTTCACTTTCTCGACTTTGCAATTTCTTCGTTTTATCAATTTTTGAGATTTTTCCATTTTTTAGATTTTAAGTTTTTTGAATTGAGCAACTTTTCGAATGAAAATAATGGAAAAATCGCAAAACTAGGAATTCTGCACACTAAGACATTAAAAATGTTAAGCTGAGAAATAGTGAAATTAAAAAATTAAAAATTTAGAAAAGTCAAAAAAATCTAACGAACAATTAAAAATCGAAAATGAACCAACTGTAAAATTGACAAATTGTAAATCGAAAAATTCAATAATTGAAAAGTTTAAAAATCCAGTCACTGAAAAATTCAAAAGTGATAGGGATAGTAGAAAGTAGGACAATCCAAAAATTGAACAAATGAAAACTTGAAAACTAAGTGAAAAACAAATATTTGAAAAATCGAAAAACTCTAGCACAATTAAAAATTTACAAAATTAAAAGTCGACCAACTGAAAAATTAAAAATGAAAAAATTGAAAAATTGGATAATTAAAAAAACGAGAAATTCAAAAGACGGGAAATTGTGAAATCGAAATATTACAAAATCAAAAAAGATTGAAAAAAAAATTAAAATATTGAAGGATTTAAAGAAAACCTAAATTCTGAAATGAATTAATTTTTTTGAATTTAATTTTTCTATTTTTGGTTTTTCAGTGTTTCAATTTTTTGTTTCTTCAGTTCTTCTATTTGCCATTTTTAGATTTTGCAATTTCTCATTTTATCAATTTTTGAGTTTTTTTATTTTTTTGATTTTAAGATTTTTGAATTGATGAACTTTTCGAACAAAAAAAATGGAAAAATCGCAAAACTAGGAAATCTGAAAACTAAGACATTAAAAAAGCTAAGCTGAAAAATAGTGAAATTAAAAAATAAAAAATTTAGAAAAGTCAAAAAAACCTTACCGACAATTAAAAATCGAAAATGAACCAACTGTAAAATTGACAAATTGTAAATCGAAAAATTCAATAATTGAAAAGTTTAAAAATCCAGTCACTGAACAATTCAAAAGTTATAGGAATAGTAGAAAGTGGGACAATCCAAAAATTGTACAAATGAAAACTTGAAAACTAAGTGAAAAACAAAAAATTGAAAAATCGAAAAACTGGCACAATTAAAAATTTACAAAATGAAAAGTCGACCAACGGAAAAATTAAAAATGAAACTATCGAAAAATTGGATAATTAAAAAAACGGAAAATTCAAAAGACGGGAAATTGTGAAATCGAGATATTACAAAATCAAAAAAATGGAAAAAAAAATTAAAAAATTGAAGGATTTAAAGAAAACCTAAATTCTGAAATGAATTAATTTTTTCGAGTTTTAATTTTTCAATTTTTGGTTTTTCAATGTTTCAATTTTTCATTTCTTCATTTCTTCAATTTGCTATTTTTAGAATTTTCACTTTCTCGATTTTGCAATTTCTTCATATTATCAATTTTTGCG